GTGGCCAGAGTGGCAGCTAAAGAGAACCAGTAATGTGCTTGCGTGCACACACACACCCGTAACTCTGTCCCTCATTGAATGTTCACTCAAAGGAAAGTGTCTCCTGCCGAAGGACTAACTCCACCTCTTGAACACTTAGGCATTCCAAGGAAGAATTCTGTCCACAATTTAACTTGGCTTGACCCAGTTACCTTATAAGTTCTAATGGGATCACAAAGTAAATATGGCCTTAGCTTTTTTACTACCTTTCTCCCAAATCAAATACAGCAAATTCCTGGTTATACATGTATTTTGCACCCAATATTTGGCAACTGTGATACTTGGATTGTCATTACTGATTAAATGGAATTAAAGTATCATACAAAATTGAATATATAGAGGGTTTTTATTAAAATATATACATCAGTTATATCATCAATTTAATAAAAGATTGTTCTCTATACTATGAATTTGAGTTCCATGAACACGAAGAATTTTTCCTCCTTTCTTTCCTCCTATTTTGAATCCAGCCTCTTCTTTCTCAATAATAACAAAGGTTTATTCTCTTTTGTTATAAAATGCCTCAATGGCCTCATCTTGACCTTTCCCTCTTCTCCATTTACCTTCTCTTCTACTGCTTCAAAACACTATAGTCCTCTTTCTAGGTAACAAGTCCTTGTGATAGAGTATACTGGACCTAGGAATACTCTAAGGGAAAATACCGTAAACCACATATGCACTGCAGAGATCTGGTATAGCCACTGGCTGTTATCTTGGAAGATAATTGTTGGAATACTTGTGTGGAACTGTGGTGCTGTTCCACAATACCAACGTTCTTATTGAGCCACTCAGATACCAAACCACCATCAACCACCTTGGTGCAGATCCATCAGATTGCCAGTGGGAGTAGAAGGTGGTAGTTAGTGGGGAGACATCCATTCGATGGAGAAATACTGGGACTGCTAAGACTATAGTTAAGCTTCATGCCATTAAACCCCATCAAATACTCCCAGCATGTGAAATCCAGGTTAAAGTTGCTAGTGTAAAAGCATTTGCTCTACCTACAGCACAGATTTCATTAGACCCAAGAACAGTCAGGGCTGCTGGTTGTAGGTGTATTGTCAGATATTCCATAGTCTTTGCATTTGAGGAATTATTTTATGGCTTTAAAGGCAGAAGGGGTGAATCAGACCTTCTCAGTTAGCTCCAGATCTACAAGAGACTGTGTTAGCCAAAATTCAAATAGAGTAGCTCACAGGAAGCAGTGGGAGGTGTATCCCCCCCGCCAGTATCCAAGAGAAATCAAGTTACCTTCCCAGTATATGCAAACCAGTATCTGAGGAGGGTGTGTATGTGGTGTGTGTATGACAGACAGCATCCTACTCCAGGGGAGTGAGGAAACCTAATGACTTGAAGGGAAATTCTCTGAGTCCTGTAGCACAGGCCAGGGAAATAAGCTCTCTGCCTACCCTGAACAGGGGACCAGAGGCAGTACAGAGCATGGTTACTCATATGTCTAATCCTTTTTGGAATCCTACTAAGCATTTTACTTCAATACTATCTTGTGGTAGTAAGTTTCACAATTTCAGGGTAACTACTCTTGTATTTCCTCCTCCTTGGTCCCTCAAGGGCAACCACTTAAAGGTTTCCAGCTCCCAGCCATCACTTCTCCTGGGCAGAGCCCCACGTCTCACTCCCTTTTACATTGTCACATCCCCAGCCAGCTGGTCTGCCTAGAAAGTCAGCTCCTGTGCTTTGGTTTCTTTCTCAGGGCTATGACCAATATATTGCCAGCAGTTACAAGTTACCACAGGAGCTCCTTCTGAGCAAGCACATTTATTCTTAAGGAAAAAGCGTTAGAGAGAAAGCTTTTAAAATAATAAAAGACCCTGCATGCCTGCTAAAAAGCATGCCAAAGGTCACCCTTTACTCTAACATAAGGCTGCAACAACAGTGAAGATAGATAGATAGATAGATAGATAGATAGATAGATAGATAGATAGA